CTGGAGCATCCCGGTCAGAGGCAGGTTCAGATATAAACACTGAACTAAAGAAGCATGTTAGATAATTATTTAATCGGCTCTGATTAAACAACTTCCGATTCGATGTGCAAAATGTAGCATCAGTGCTAGCTCTGTAAACAAACAAGCCGGCTGATGAGACGTCACATCTTTTACTGCGCATGCTTGTCACATCAGTGCTGTGGAGCGTTCACACAGGGGTCTGATACATGTCACATTTAAAATGTAATGTGAACGTTCACACAAAAAGATCGGATTTTTTCAAAAAATCGGAACTGAGCATTAAGACCTGCAGTGTGAACGTAGCCTTTGTAACCAGAGTCTGCCCAGTTAGAATGCAGGGCTGCTTTTACTTGTTCTATCAACACCATTTAAAAACTGGTGTATAGCTTGAAGTCTGTACTTTCTAAACAAATGGGAACAGATTCTTAGAGAGGKTTTATCTTTCCCAATAGTCATGTGACAAGGACGTGCCAGCGTCCAGGAGATTAATCAATATATTAGTCATTATTGGATAAATGCYGCAGTTAATGATGATTAATTATTTTTGCCAATATCACCCAGCCTCAGATGAAAGTTCCTCCTACACCCCTGCACACATTAACTGTGTTTTAAACCATCCATTTACTTAATTACAACTAAACACTTCAATATGAGAGGTCACTCACGCAGGTGATCCAGATCAACCACCAACTCTGAATTGTTTGTTCTTCCTGACAACCTCAACATTTCATGAAAATCCATTTCATCACTTGTTGAGTAATGTTGTGCACAGACAGAGAGAGAGGCAAGCCAACATTACCAAAAACAATAACCTCGTTGACGGAGGTAATAATATAATAATATTTGAACATACAACAGCAAAGAAAGAGCTATGTGACTCATTGAAGTCAACTCTTGGAAAAAAATATTTGATGTATTTGTGTTTTAATCATTTTGGACTATACTATGATGAATCCATCGGTTTTKACAAAACTAATGCCTATTTTTTTTATCAGTTTTAACATCTTGGATACGTTTTTCTTTCTTTAGCTGATATCGTGATTGTGGCTGAAGAATGTCTCTGCTCTTTTCTTTTCCTTCAGGGTATGTGGGCAGAGGGTATGCGAACGGCGGAGGGTTGTTACCGAACAGTTTGGGAAAGGTTGGGCATGGCCTTTCAGACYCCGGAAGCCTACTGCGAGAAGAACATCTTTCGCTCCCTGGCCTACATGAGGCCCCTCAGTGTTTGGGCCATTCAGCTCGCCGTGAACATGTCTCAGGAGGTTTCAACTGCAGCAGCTAAAACTGAAGACAACAAAACCTGAGTCATCTAACGATGTGGACGCTGGAGAGAAATGGAGCAAGACCCAGTAAAAACAAGAACAAAGACTAAAATAAAATCCCTGAAGTTATTTGTCACCCCAGTCTGTTTGACTGGTTGCTATGACTGCAGTTTTTTTTACTTGCAAATGTTTTCTGTGATTCATAAAGAGGGGTGACTACAAAGTTCCTACAAACATTTTGGCCCCTTCTGCACAACTGTTTGCAATTCTCAATCATGTCCTAATGGAAAAAGAGAGAATTTTAAAATCACTTTCCCAAATAGAGATTTCTTAACCTCGTTATTTTGGTGTTAATCTATGCTGATTTAAGAAAAAATAACTTATTATAGAAATTATGACATGGGAACCTAATTTGTGCCCAAAAACCCACAACAAGGAAATAATTTTTACCATGTTTTCATCAGTCTGTTTTAATTCGGCTGCTATTAAACTTTGGTCTTGTGCTGAAGATGAACTCCAGAACCTTTAGCTAAGCTCATAGGTTCTTTTTATGATTTGATGCACAGTTAATCCAGACGGTCTTGACCTCTGCAGATGTGGCATGTCAGCAAGTAAGATTAAATAATAATCATCTGTAAAAATCTTATTTTTTTAAATAAAAAATAAATAACAAAAAAACACAAGCTCAAAAGAGTTTCCAAAGTAGCGTAGTTGGAGCCTACAAGGACTTTTTAAATACTCTGCAAATTGTCTTGCACTGTGGGTCTTTAGGCATCAAATAAAAAGCCTGCATTTAATTTTAAAATTGTATCTTTTCTTTCTGTAACATTTTTCCCATTGCAAACACAAAGACGCTACATTTCATATAATGCCAATAGTATTTGAACACTTGGAACGTGTTTATGTATGGTATCAAATTTTCTTACTCAATCAAACATTTGAATGCTATGGTAAATGGTGTCATAGGTGATATTTGAGAGCCTGGATTATTATGATGATGATTATTATTATTATTGTTATTATTATTATTATTATTTTTTTCATAGGTTTTGGTGCCTTTCTTGCATGTTTATTGAACAATAGTGTATAAAATTACAGCAAGACTTTACAAAAATATAGTCATGACAATCACGATGAATGAATAAATACAGTACTTCAAGAGATKGGTTGCATTTTTATTGTATATGAGCAAATGTTTTTGTAGTTAAAGCACAAGTGATCAGCATGAGGGTTTAAAATCCTGGGCTGGAGGGAACTACATAATCCTGGTCTGTGTGTCCTACAAGATGGGTCATTGCCTGGTGGTTTGTGGGACTTGGAGGGTTGCACCGGGTCATAGTAGAGGTCATCTATCCAAGGAGCCAGCCTACTGGATTAAATTTTTCTTTGTTGCATTTCTCCAAGTTGAGCAGGGCCGTAGGCTACTAAAAAGGAACAAATCCAGCAGAACCAGGCTTAAAATGAATGACCATTCGCATCAGAAGGCAGGAAAAAAATCAAAGAAAAGTGGGATTGGTCTAGTTGAGGTTTCTATTAACAAGAATAATCAGGAAGGGCTGGTAGGCCAGTAGGGGTAATGCTACGCTCCAGTTGTAATGAAACTCAAAATTGTAAATTTGGACTGACGTCARTCCCAAATTGAAGGTGTTCCAGTTTCCACCTTGTCAGAAAAAAGGAAAAATAAATGGAAAAAAGGRTTTCCATTTCTTGCTCTGGTAGAATAATGCAACAATAACAACAATAGCGCTCTACACGGCATTGAGTGTAGAATCAGCGTTAAAACATTGCCAAATACTTACTATAACTACAACTAATATGACTGACTTCATGTAAAGTAAACAACCCTTAAAATGATAATGCAACACAATCAGGTATGGTCGCATTGCACCGACTTCCCAACTCAAAATTGCGCTAATACACTGTATTACAATGGAAATATTAAAATATTAATTAACAATGTTGTATCACATTTTTTAATTTACAAAAACTAACTAACTAACTAACTAACTAACTAACTAACTAACTAACTAACTAACTAACTAACTAACTAACTAACTAACTAAACAACTAACTAACTAACCAACTAACTAACTAACTAACTTCTGGTACAGAATGATTGACAGACGTGTTGCCCCGCCCCCTCGGTCAGCCACAGCCAATGAGAGAGGACCTACCATAACTTGTCTCCAGCTCGAGTTTACGTGGGTGTGATTTGGAGTTGGTGCGACAGCTAGCGCGATCCTTCACCTGTTTTCCTTCGTATATTTGGAGGAAAAAACGGGATTTGAAGAGGTTTGGGGCAGATAGACTAAAGGATATTCAAATCCAGCCAAAGGAAAAGCGGCAAAACCGCAGGTTTTTTTTGTGACTTGGTTTCAACGGACGGACAGGCTAATGGCAAGTGTTGCTAAGCTAACAAATTACTTTTCTGCCTTTTTGTTTGTTGTTTGGTTGAGACACACAGCTTGTTTGATTGTATTTTACCAGTGTGAATATTAATTGTGCATGGAAGAGCATTGCAGTCACCAAATAAAATCAGGCTTTTATAATTACGGGATAATATCTTGTAATTATGAGATCAGGAGTTTTTATTTTATTTTATTTTTATTGTTATTTTGGATGAAATACAATGCTCTTCCGTAACTGTGTCAAGAGGAGTGTTGTGCAGTGTTATGCAAACCTGTTTGACTGGAGAAAAAAAAATCATCTTAAACAATTATAGTTGAAACTTCTTGCAGAGRAGTATTTGCGACCTYGTCAGATTTTGCTACCGTAGCGCGGCTCGATAGCTGTCGGTGCTACCGATTTTCCTTTTCACCGAATTTCCTTTTATTAGACTTTCTACACTCAGAATTTATATTTGCAATTATTCCCAGAATATATATATAT